CATGGTGTGTAAAAGAATGCAGACAGGATATCTGCCCTGCAAATGACATCAAAGAAGAAGCAAATAAAAACACCACATTTCGTTTTTTTCTGTCTCTGCCCACTTCTGCCCTGACTCCCTCAGCAGCTTGGTTTCCCTCTGAGTTCCCAGTGCTGCTGGACAGCTGCCTCAGATCAGCATGCAACGATACCGATGGTGTTGTGGTAACCTCTGTCACAGGTGAGCATGTGGCAATTTGCGCTTCCAGGGCCATAAGAGTCACTAATTTGAACGGTGGCTGATTTCCTTGGCAACACCCATGGAATGACACCAGGGTGTGAGGGAAAGCCATGGAGCTGTCTCTGCAGTTGACTGATGAGCTGGAGCTCCTGTGTTCTTCTCCTCATGCCATTTGTTCCCTTACCCCAGCATCTCCCACTGTTGCCAACTTGACAATCCTCAGTGAGGTTGTGGAGCCACCTATTCTGGTGACAGTAGCATTCATCCCTTTTTTCATCATATTTGGTAGTAGTAAAATAATCTAGTGGCATGCTCAGCTACACAGAAAGGGCTGAGGCTACTACGAGAGGGCAAGACCAGTTGCATGACCTTTACTAGCAGGGGTTCCCATGAAGCCAGTGGAACAAAATGCTAGGAAGAGAAGCTAAGCTCTGTAGGCATGTTGGGTATTGTGGCACTGTCCTCCCTAGCCAGGTTCTTGGGGCTGGTATTCACTGATAGTAGTTCCATGCACAAGGCCACGGCCTGCATGACAGCCTCCTCCCCTCCCTGCCATCTTCATCCAGCTTTGATTGCTGGTCTGTCCATGCTGAGCCAGTCTGTCAAGAGTCACCTCATACAGATGTCCATGTTGGTGGACTGGCATCTCCAGATGGGAGCAATCCAAGGCAGACTGTACCAGCTGCCGGTGGGAGGCACCAGGGAGAGTCTTGTCATGTGCAGAGCCTTACAGATACCATTTCTTTCCACATTCGGGTGCTGTTTAAGCTTGGACAGTGCTGGCAGTTGGGAAACTGGGCTTTGAAGGTGTCTGAGGAAGTGTTCTTACAAGACAAGTAGACACAACCCATTAGTCACGCCAAGATGCTGGTTTGTTTTGGCAAAGACATGCAGAGAAGGTCTCTCCCTCTGGCCCATATATATCTGTTTCTGGTAACAGCTGGATCGCTGAGCCAGAGTACATCCCACCAAATCCATACAGCTTGACCAAACTGACAGCCTGAGACTTTCCAATGGGCAACTCACAGCTTGACAGCCAAAGTCTTCAGAAACTCCTTCCGGGTGGTGGGGTGGGAGGGAAATGTGGTGAAAAAGCCTTGTCCACCATGCACTTCTTCACTCCCTCCCTTTCAGCCCTGTCCTTTCTCAATACCCAGGAAAGATTAACTCCTCTCCGTGCGCCAGAGAAAGTTATTATCATTAATGAAGAATTAAAAGGGAGCGATTAATAAAGGGCCCTTATCTGGCAGCGAGGAGGAGGCTGGACAATGGGAGGAAGATGGAGAAAATGAAAAACAATAAATATGAAGCGTAAAAGGAGGCGAGCACTGCTCCCACTTGTTAGATCGCAGCTGCATCTCCTGAGGGGGGAAGGCTCCAAATTGCTAATTACTGCCTCTGAAAAGACCTCGCTCTGATATGTTTTCTGCTGAAAGGTTCCCATTAATGAAGCAGCGATGATGCCATTTCCCTTTGACTTGCCTTCAATTCCCTCCCTGAGCTTCCTCCCAAGCCGGGAACAATGAGGCCCTGGGAGCTGGCGGCTCCCACAGGCCTCTCAGAGACTAGGCCGGGGGCAGCCGAGTGAGGGGATCCGAGCCGGCTGTGAAATATGGAGGGGGGAGATAAGGCAAAGACAGAGGAAAGAGGCTCACTCCCAGGAGCCCAGGGAAAATTTGCAGTTATTATGAAGGAGATGAGACAGATTAAAAGCCCTTGTGTTCTGTGCTGCCCTTTTATTTAGTGGCTTCATCTCCGAGATGAAAGAAGTTGGAAATGACTTTCTCTGCATTTTGCTGCAAGAAGCTTCACGGCACATTTTTTGACTTTATTCCTCCCTTTGTCTCTTGTCCCCTTTCTGTCTCTCTTTTTCCTTTTAACCCCTGGAAGGTTTCACTGGAGAGAGCCATGGGACCAGGCAGAGCATTTGCCTGGGTAGAGGAACGACCCCTCTACTCTCCCCTTCCTAGCGGGCTGTACCTCTCCCACTGCCTGCCCAAGAGGCAACTGGGCAAAGGTGCTGCAGCAACACCCTGCTAGCATCCAGCCGAGCTTCCTCTCTTGCTTACCTCAGAAAACGTCCCTCACCACTAATGTCTCTTCTCCCGCCTCCAAGCCCAGCAACAGTTCAGCACTGGTGACCATAGCCTCTGGACAGGAAAAAGAAACCTGTATGTACAAAGCCCAGTGACTGATAACAAACCAGTTGGGATAACAGTGTTGAACATTTTGCATCCCTAGAGCATTTCATGAGCAAAACTAGTGCTGAGGAGATGGGCCAGTTTCCCTTGTGCACACAGGAAACTTGCAAACTGCACAGAGAGTAAATAATTTGCCAGGGACATGGGATGAAGTTGAATGCAGGCAAGGATTCAAAACTTATGGTCACTGGCCCATGTCAGAGTGAAAGACAAGATAGACATAGCATAAATTGCTCAAAACCAGATTACTCCAACTTCCTCGTTATATTTCTCTCATTTGTATTCCCATTTTTTTGACTTTTCCCTGTACACATCAATACTGCTTTGCTGCATCTTTAGTTCTTGGGACTCTTGCAATTGCAAAAGAAGCTTCGCCTTGTCTTTTGCTTTTGCCCTATCCCTTTCCCAGAAAATCAACCTCGCGCAGCAGTCTGTTGTCTTTACTCAGGCCAAATGCTGCCAACATCTGTTGAAATTTGGTTTCAAGTGTTGAAAACGACAAAAACATTGGATGGGTGAAGTACAATTTATACCAGTTTCAAACCAGTTTGTTGACCAATAGAAACAGCAGAGAACTAGCTGGGAGAATAGAGGGAAAAGAAGAGAAATTAGAGTGGGCATCTGCTGCCATCTCCCCAGGACATCCGAACACTGGGTTTCTTGCACACAATTGTTTGTCTGGTTTGTTATCCTGCCTGGAACGGCAGCCAGTACTGAATGCTTGAAATGAAGGGGTAGGAAGCTCTGAAGTGGATGTTTACAGAATAACCTTCCCATCAGGGGAGTTTCTCTCTAACCCAGACATTTTGTAGCTGTTTTATATCCTGAAGCTTGAAAAAGGATTGCAGGGGTAAAATAGGATTAGATTTTAGGAGGGATTGGCTTTCAGATCTGAGAGTAAAAAGAAACCTCCTGTATTGGAAATAGGAAAGTGACAGAGAAAACAAAATACTGCAGGCAAGTAGGATGAGTTACTGCCACGGAAAGGGTTAAAAAGACAAAAGGACAGAATTTTACAGACAAATTGGTACGCAGAAAGTAACTTAAATTAAGTCAGCTATTAAAAATGGGATAAGAATGATCTACCTAATGACTGTTTTTCTTCTTTTAATATTTATTTTCCAAGGAAATTTCTCAGAGAACTAAAAGGTAATGAAAATGTTAACATGACAGCTCAGACTGACATAAAGGACTAGTTAGAGCAACGGCATGTAGAAAGCTCAGTGAAGCGAAACGATGACTGTCCTATTGGGGTGTAGGAATCAACGGCAAACTAAGGATTTGATTCTTTCTGAAGTATCTTGACAAACTAGGGAGGGTGCCAGAGGACTAAGGAAAAGCAAGCACCGTACCAGTCTTTCTGGGGGGAGCAGGGAGGAGGCAGTGATCTTTCCAATTATCACCCTTTCAGAGTAACTTCTGTTCCTGATGACATGATGGAATAAATAGAGGCGGACAAAAATGTAGAAATACAAAGGATAAGAGATCTATGAGCAACAAGCAGCAGTGTAGATTTATAGAGAACAAATCACATCAGACAAACCTGATTACTTTCTCTGATTGAATTTACAAAATTAGTGACGAGAATGCTATGAACATAATATATCTGGACTTCGGCAAAGCTGCCTCGTAAAAATGTAACTTGAAAAATGAACCGGCATTGGCTTGAATATGAATGCAGCCACCTGGGTTAAAAAACAAAACAAAACAAAACCAATCAGCCAACCAGGAAAACAATATGAAAGATGAGAAATAAAAGGGAATGGTAAGCCAAACTGGGTGGTGGCAGGGTCACACCTGGCTTTACTCTTGATGTGTAAAATGGGAGGGATGACAGGCAAAGAGGTGCAAGGCTTGAGATGGGGGTAACACTGTGAGGTTTAATTTCGGGGAGAACCAATTCCCATCGTGATATATACAACTAGTGCGCCAGCAGCTAATGGAGGCGTTCGGGTACCGAGTTTATTGGTTGTCTGTTTAAAAATAATAATAATAAAAGAATAAATATAATAACCAAGCAACTCAAGGGTAAGCGTATGGCGAGGGCTGCCCCGTTAGCGGGTAAATGCTCTGTATAATGGCTCCAACAACGGCACCAACCACAGCGCAGGTCGAGGAGAAGCGATCAACGCCCATCGCAGCCCCGCAACCCGGGTTGAGGGGCGGGTCTGGGGAGGCGGGGGGCGCGGTCGGGAGGCCGCTGCGCCG